AATGAATTTGAAAATGATCAGCAACTGTTGAGAGAGGTAGAGAATATTCAAACTTTTATGGGGGACAAACAATGGTCAAAAACATGACTCATTTTGCCTAAAATTTCCAGTTTTTGAAACAAATACAGAAACAAAGAGTAAACTTGCAGAAAAAACAAATGTGTATGTTTTGTAACATTTACAATTTTATCCATTGAGATGTAGCACTCAAAATTCCAGACAACCAAAAAATTGTTCCACTCTCTTTTAATCCTTCTGGGAGAAAGTTACCTTTTTCATCCTCTTGGTGATCTTCTTATCACATGCCTGATCACTGCTGCCGACTTTACTGTTGTCGAGAAGGAAAGGAAACTGTTTTGGAGACAAAAATCCACACTTGGACACATCCAACCCATCCTCACCATAGTAAAACTAAAGAATATCAACAGGTAAGTAAAATATCAAATCTGTGTTAAGATGATACTAGAATTTCCTTTTAAAGACTTGTTAGTACAAATATATACTGTCTCTCCCCTCCTACCTGTTCCTCTCTCCCCTTCTCTAACTATACTTCTCTCCCACCATGAAGTCTATATGTACAATGTATAACTCTCCCCTCCCTACATGTTCCTCTCCCCTCCCTACAAATACCTCTCCCCCTCACTACCTGTTTCTCTCCCAACTCTCTACCCTTATCTTTCTCCATTTCCTATCTATTTCTCTCTCCCCCTATCTTCCTGCACCTCTCCACCTTCTTGCCTGTACCTCTTTCCCTTCCCTATCTTACTATTCTCCCCCTCTCCCTACCTGTATAACACTCCCATCACTGTCCCTCACTGTCATGTCGTAGTTCACCATTACCCCCTCCAAGTGTTTAATGAGGCATCTCTGAAGATAACCACTTCTACTGGTCTTTACAGCAGTGTCTATCAATCCCTAAGAAGGAAGCAAAAATGCCAAGAAGAAATCTAATTTGTCTACAAAAACAAAACAGTTCTTAAAAATTTATCGTTACCAAAAAATTGTTTTGAAATTAATTATTTTTTATAATATCAAAAAATCATTACTAACAATGAGGAATTACTAATACCAATTTGATGTAGATTAAAAGCAAACAAATTTTTTTTTACCTCTCTCCCTGCCATACAATGGAAAAAGTATTCCTGAGGCCTGATTCCAGTCAGAAATCTACCAGCCACAAACCCCCCAGCCCTAGGAGAAGTATCATAGGACAAGAAAGAGGGGAGAGTCTTTCCACTAAGCATCAGAGGGGGTCGTCTCCCTTCCAACTCAATCTGCCCCAGTAAACCTGAGATCTGCATGCAGTTGACCTGTAATGACAAAGTTATACATGATTTAAACTTATTACATCTGTAATTTAAGTTAGAGCATGCTATGGGATAATTTTAAGAAAATTATCTCTGACCTTGACCTTTGATCAATTGACTTTTAAGTTTAGGGAGCTTTTCTCTAACTATCTTTCATCAAATGAATCAAAGATATAATTAAGGTTTAGACTGAAATATGTGTTTCAGTAAATCATATACAATGGATCAAAAATAAGTTAAATTTCACCTTGACATTTTCAAAAAATTAACTGAGGACCGAGTCATGGCATATCTTCTAATAAAAAATAATATGCTTTTTATCTGATATTTCTTAGCTGTAAGATATGAACATGACAAAACTTTTATAACTTTCAATCCCAATGACATGATTTTTTGTTCAATGTAATAACACTTCTCAAGTCTTAAGATATCTTTGGGCCTAGAAAAAAAAAACATTTGAAATTTCTATTCAGTGATATATTTGCTTCTCTGAATCCATGTAAAATTGTGTAGAGATTCTCACTCGTTTCCAAAAACCATTTTAAGGTAAAATGTGTCTGCCTCAAAAACGTAAGAAATTAAAATTGCAAATCTAACTTCATATTTACCGAAACAAATGCTTAATTGTATTCAAGAAGGAATTCTTTAAATCTCTACCTGTTATATCATTTAAAAAGGGACATACAACTAGCTACTTGTGCATTGTTTACTTTAAAACACCATGCAGTTATCGACATTTCAGAAATAGCAGTTCGACACTGAGAGAAACAGATAGAAATTTTTCATACCTGATGTCATAAAATTCTTTGGTATGTATTTTATTACTGACTTGATTTTTACTTACATAGATATGAAAGTATGTTGTACGTTGACTTAACATTTAATGTCTATTTCTGAAACCAGCCCTGGGATTATGAAACTTTTTAAAGCTTTTAAAATAAAAATCTTAATGTTGTGCTGAAATTTTGTACAAGTCAAATGGTAGAGAAAAATATATTTATTAATATTGTATCCCAAAATGCTGTTACCTGCAAATTTAGAGATTAAGTTGAAAATGAATAAACATCTTACAAGTGGTTTAAACTTTAATATAATTCTTGATTCATGATCCTAGGGCCTAGCTGGCTTAAAGTCCAAAAAGTCATTTTATAAAACCTGTGCAATATTTTTACTCTGACTATAGTTTTTTTTAATTGTTTTAAGCCAAAGTTTTTGAATATTTTTCCCCCCAAACTTCTTGTAAATTGGGGTCAATAAAGTTTTCACTGCAGCTTACAATTTCTAAAAGACATGACAAGTTTATTTAACACAGACTTCCAATATAGAATAACTTTTGTTTAAAGGTTCTTGTATTTCAACAATCCAACTCGGGTATGAGCGTGACAGCCAATTCAAAGTTTAAACCTTGACAAGGCTAAATCTATTATCAATGTACATAAATGAGAGAGGCAAACTTGCTGCAAAAAATGCTTAAGAATATGCATTCTTATGTAATCTATTAAAAATCTTCAATAAAACCGGTTACATAAACAGAATCTGATACTCTGTAAATAGGTGATTGTCTGTTGGGACAACTTAACACTGAAACTTGAATATCCTATTTTGCTAAAGTCAACTCTTCACTTAATGTACAAGTGTTTGTAACAATTAAGCATTCTGAGAGTGTTGCATAAGTTATTCTAGTCCCTTACCAAGATGTATAGTCTAAATCACTAAAAAAGAACAAGGAAATAATTCCTTAAAAATCTTTGATACTGATTTTACAGTATTTTTACTGTAAAACCACATATTTTCTTGGGGTCAAATTTAAGAAGTTTGAGGAAAAAATATTGGTTTGTTGGAGAATGAGTAGTAATCAATTAGAAAATTTACAATTCCTGGTGGACATTAATTTGTGGGTCCCTCCATACCTTGCAAACTAGATCTGCAACTGGCCAAGGTACTAGTATATTCTCATACTAAAACTGAGCTCAGTTTCTGCAAGCTTGAAGTAAACATGAAAGTTCATAGAACTATTCAAAGTGGGACAGACACTGAAACTAGCCAACACATGGATGGAAAAATAGAAGGAGAGAAAATCTATAGTCCCCTATAGTTTCATTTCTAAAGAACTTACAGTTATCCATCCATTCATTCACCTGTAGTTTACATCTTGAATATTACTTAGACTAGCTAGCTGCTGTATTTGAAGTTTACCTTGAAAACATCTAATATAATTGCATAAATAGACCACAAAAAAATCATTGATTAGCTGTTTAATACCATCAAATAATCAATTACCCAGTAATGAAATAGTCTCATTTAGACATCCTTTACACTAAAACAACCTGATTCTATATAGAGGAAATATTCATTTTACAAAAATCAATGGAATCAACAAGTCATATGAACATGCAGAAATAAATTAACTCTAAGTGCAAGTGTACAAAATGAAAATGTTTTTCCAAACTGTTCTAATATTAATGCATACAATTATTGATTTCACAACTCCTGACTACTCATGAATTGCAACTGAACATTTAAAGCAATGAAAGGCTTTAAAAGGAGTAAATAAAAAAGAGAGACAATTTGGAGGTCCACTGGGTATAAGGATCTGTCCAATGTGAAATGTTTTATCTATTGTGCATTACCTGTAACTAAATACATGTATATACATCATCAGAGACAGGGATTCTCCCATTTCTCAAAGGAACAAGGTATGATACTAATTTTTGTCATATAAAGTCAGGTAATTGTTATTTAACACCTCAGATGTGAAGAAAACAGAATTGACAGATAGTAAACATTTGCGATTTATCAAAAGCAGGTATGCTAACCACTTCAAACATATTTGTAATGAGTTTTTATAAACTCATTTGTAAAAGTGTTCATTATTATATGTTATTTAGGTAACTGTTGCTAGTTTTCTTGACAAGCTGTAAAAATTTGAATGATGTGTCTGTGATTCTTTATATCTGTACTCCCTCTTTCATCTGAACTTTCATACAGGGGCATACTTTAGTTGGTCAATGACCTTTAATCTTGTATACAGGGTATGTACCTTGATATTTTTAAATGCTATTTTGTCTTGTTTAACTGGTGATTCAGATATCCGGATGCTTCACTTATCCGGACAAATGGATTGGGAACCAAAGCGTCCGGATAAATGAGGGTCCACTGTACCTTGATATACAATGAGGTCTCGGTCTTTATCCCGATTAAAAATGGGTCATAGTCTGCAACAGTTTTAAAATAATGACCATGGTTATAACAATAAAGATAGGCAAAAAAATCCATCCCTCCTGTCTTAAATATCTGGCATTAAAAAAAAACTTCACTTAACATGAAAAAACTAATTTATTTTAACATTTTTTTTTTATATTTCAATTTTCAAATTACATGAGATTTGAATAGTTATTGACAAAGTACAAACAATGTATGGCTCATATCAGGCTGCAATTTGAGGCACAGAAGCACAAATAAAGGAAGTTATTTACAAGTATTTGTATTGACCCCAATTTTAAGGACACCTGAAAGATTCTGTATGACCTAGTTAGTGATTACAGATAAAGAAGTAAACTGTCTCACTGAGCACTTAACAACAGGTTTCTGCTTGTCTGTTTACTGACAGTGATAGTCAATGAAAAAATATAGGTAAAGCTATCAGATTCCAAAGGGACACTCAAGCATGTCTTGATAATAAATCATTCAGACCATTTAAATCAGAGTGGTGATAAGTTCTCACACAAAAAATGAAATAGATAAAAGGGGGCCGACTGAATTACTTCATTACCTGCTTTGAGAGCTTGCTGCACTGACAGGTATTTTTTTAAAAAACAACAACAACAGACGGTGTAGTTTATAATTTTACCAGTTCTTTTGGAGTGAAAACAGATGTTTATTTTTTTTTCAGGTAAATTTACAAATTATTCAATATCTTCATCAGGTGACAATTATATTTTTCAGGTTGAATGACAGATTATCCGATGGCGTCAAAAGTTTGTGACCACTGCACAAAGAAGGAGGTACAGCTCCACTGCATAAGCTGTGAACATAAATTATGCAAAGAGTGTGTGGGAAGCCATTCTATGATTGAATCACCGCATGCCCATAAAATCGTGAAATATGCTGAAAGACATGCACACACTCCTCATCCATTCTGTTTGGCCCACTCCAAGAGCCACTGTGATGTTTTCTGCAAAGACTGTGATATCCCCATCTGCTCCGAATGTCAAACCGGGGTTCATGAAAAGCATGCAACAGAGGAGCTCCCAGAGTCCTTTCATTCCAAGAAAACACAAATTCTGGAAGATACCCATGCTCTTGAGGAATCTCTTCTTCCACAATACAATCAAGAAGAAATAATCACAAAATCTAAAACAGCCAATCTTACCTACAGCTACACAGCTATTGAAAAACAAGTAGAAATTTTCAAGAGGAAATGGGTGGAGGAAGCCACCAGAGTCTTCACCAGACTTGCCAAAGAAATGCACAGTTTTAAAGAGGAAGACATGGCACCCCTGTACTGCCATGAAGACAAAATCAAAACAGGGATCCAAGAAATGCGCAAGGACCTGGAAAAGAACCGAGGAATTCTGAAGATGGGTAAAGTGTCCAAGATAATGGGCTACACATCGAATATAGACAAATTCAAAGAGCTGCCTCATCTGGATTTAGAGCCCAGTCTCCCAACATTCCTTTCCAGTTCTGCAAAAGAAAATGTCTGGCAAGTTCAGCTGGATGACCTTCATTCATTCCTTGTACCACCTACATATCTCACCTCCCTCCAACTTTCCCCAATATCTAATAAAGTATTGGTTGACCAAGTTGTCGTGATTGCCACTGTGAAAACCCCTTACCACACTATCAGAGATTTAGCCTGTGCAGGGTTCAACAAAGTATGGGTGAACCCCATGGGCGACTATGAAGATACAGAAGTATCACTGTTGGACATTTGTGGTGATAAGCTTGAGTCTGTGACTGTTGGTTCATTTTGTAATGGTCTTACCATGGACCCCCATGGAAGATTACTCTACTCCGAGTTCAACAATGTAATGGTCTTTCAAAATGGGGAGGTCAATACTTTACTTGAAATGCCTGAAGGATGGGAGGGCATGGGTGTGTTTTGTTCCAAAACAGGGAATCTATTTGTCTGTCTGAGAAATGAACAAAAAGAACACAAGGTCGTAGTGTACAAGGACAAAACGATGAGCAAGGAGTTCCAGTTTGATGAAAATGGCAAGAAACTCTACCAAAATGGAGAGTACATGCTTTTTCCGAGGGAGAACATCAACGGAGATGTCTGTGTCGTTGACCACAACAGCTATACAGTTACGGCAGTGAGCCAAAAAGGCAAACTCCGATTCAGGTACGACGGGAAAGCGGCAAAGCTTCCAAAGCCTCTCAACACCAACGACATAGTCACCGACTCCATGGGTCACATCATTCTGGCAGACGAAGGCAATGACTGCCTTCACATCATCAACCAGAACGGTCAATTCCTGAAGTGCCTTACGATTCCCGGTCTGACCAAACCTACTGGACTCAGTCTGGACACTAGAGGGCGCCTCTGGGTGGGTTCTCAGAACAATGGTGACATTAAAGTCATTCAATACACAAAGTATATTCAGTAACAGACCTGACCTGATTTGTGAACCAGGAAGATTGTTTTTGTGATCATATTACAATGTTTTTGTGATCATATTACAACACTTTTCTATATTTATATCTCTGTTTCATAATATACCACAAAGTGGACAAAAGAACTTTTGTATACTCGAGAAGTTTGGAATACCTTGTGTTACGTAATGCCTTTTAATGTATTGAAAATACATGTACCAGAAACTGATAATTTGACAGTCAGATCAAAATCTTGTATATCTAAGATCTTATCTCTTCTAAAGTTTGTTCTATATATCCAGTCACTCATTAAATCAAATGTATATAATGTAATGCTTTTTCATTTCATAAGGCAAAATTGTAAGATGTGATTCAGACAGAAAGGGACAATTAATAAATGAAAATGAGGTCATGTTTTTTCAGTGCTTTTGACACTACATTTATGAAGGCAACTGAAAATTTTAAAACAATGCTGGATAAAATCTTAAGCATAACTGGAAATTCTATTTTTAAATATTGTGTAAATAAGTAAAATATGTTGTAGATGTGATCTTACTATTCTTAAAACAAGAGGCCCATGGGCCACATCGCTCACCTGAGTAACTTTGGTGTTGCCGTTCTTTAAACCGATTTCCTCCTTCGTAATTCCTATTGTGGCCTAGTCGTACCAAACCCCCCTCCCCCATGTCACAATTTTAACAATTTAGAATCTACACTACCCAAGGGTGCTTCCACATAAGTATCAGCTTTTCTGGCCCAGTGGTTCTTGAGAAGAAGATTTTTAAAGTTTTTTCCCCTATGTAAAACTTTGATTCCCTAATTTTTTAACAATTTAGAATCTACACTACCCTAGGATGTATCCACATAAGTTTCAGCTTTTCTGGCCCAGTGGTTCTTGAGAAGAAGATTTTTAAATTTTTTTCCTATATATTTCTATGTAAAACTTTGATTCCCTATTGTGGCCCCGCCGAACCCCTGGGGGTCATGATTTGAACAATTTAGAATCTACACTACCCAAGGATGCTTCCACATAGGTTTCAGCTTTTCTGGCCCAGTGGTTCTTGAGAAGAAGATTTTTAAAGTTTTTTCCCATATATTTCTATGTAAAACTTTGATTCCCTGTTGTGGCCCTGCCCAATCCCCGAGGGTCATGACTTGAACAATTTAGAATCTACGTACCCAAAGATGTTTCCACAAAAGTTTCAGCTTTCCTGGCCCAGTGGTTCTTGAGAAGAAGATTTTTAAAGTTTTCTCCTATATAATTCTATGTAAAACTTTGATCCCCTTTTGTGGCCCCGCCCGACCCCCTGGGGATCATGATTTTAACAATTTAGAATCTACACTATCCAAGGATGCCCCATAGGTTTCAGCTTTTCTGGCCCAGTGGTTCTTGAGAAGAAGATTTTTAAAGTTTTTTCCCTATGTAAAACTTTGGGGATCATGATTTTAACAATTTAGAATCTACACTACCCAAGGATGCTTCCACATAAGTATCAGCTTTTCTGGCCCAGTGGTTCTTGAGAAGAAGATTTTTAAAGTTTTTTCCCATATATTTCTATGTAAAACTTTGATTCCCTATTGTGGCCCCGCCCGACCCCCTGGGGATCATGATTTTAACAATTTAGAATCTACACTACCCAAGGATGCTTCCACATAGGTTTCAGCTTTTCTGGCCCAGTGGTTCTTGAGAAGAAGATTTTTAAAGTTTTTTCCTATATATTTCTATGTAAAACTTTGATTCCCTGTTGTGGCCCTGCCCAATCCCCGAGGGTCATGACTTGAACAATTTAGAATCTACGTACCCAAAGATGTTTCCACAAAAGTTTCAGCTTTCCTGGCCCAGTGGTTCTTGAGAAGAAGATTTTTAAAGTTTTCTCCTATATAATTCTATGTAAAACTTTGATCCCCTTTTGTGGCCCCGCCCGACCCCCAGGGATCATGATTTTAACAATTTAGAATCTACACTATCCAAGGATGCTACCACATAGGTTTCAGCTTTTCTGGCCCAGTGGTTCTTGAGAAGAAGATTTTTAAATTTTTTTCCCATATATTTCTATGTAAAACTTTGATTCCCTATTGTGGCCCCGCCCGACCCCCGGGGATCATGATTTTAATAATTTAGAATCTACATACCCAAAGATGCTTCCACAAAAGTTTCAGCTTTTCTGGCCCAATGGTTCTTGAGAAGAAGATTTTTTAATGACCCCAACCTATTTTTGTCTTTTCTTGATTATCTCCCCTTGTGAGGGGTCTTGGTCCTTCGTTTTATCAATTTACACTCCCCTTCACCCAAGGATGCTTTGTACCAAGTTTGGTTAAAATTGGCCCACTGGTTCTTGAAAAGAAGTCAAAAATGTGAAAAGTTAACAGACGGACGGACGACGGACAAAATGTGATCAGAAAAGCTCATTTGAGCCTTCGGCTCAGGTGAGCTATTAATATGACTGCTAAATATCATACTGCATGAACAATAAACTGGAAGACTTTGGAAAACTGGTAGCCTTTTTCAGAGCTACATCTTGACAAGAACTTTGGTGGCAAATAGTAATTAATTATTTGCCTAATTTAATTTGCCCTGATCAAAGTTGGGGTACATATCATAATTGCTTGACCTCAAATTTGATCTTGAAACTTAATAGAAATCATAGTCGCCGATTCCAAATAAGTCATTTACATAAGAAATTTTCGAAATAATAAATGTTTTGATGGAAATTAAAGAAACATGCTTTTTTTCTAAGATTCATTTATCTCAGTGACTGCTTAGCCATTTGTTTTTGAAACTTTAAGAAAACTGTTCATTGTATTCTTTAATACCCCCTAAATTTGAATGAGTTGCAAAATTTTGTTGCAAAATAAATCCACAAATCAATGGTTATAATATATGGGTTCATCGTAAAAGCAAGATCTCTTAAATTAGAATGAAATGAACAAATGTTTGTTATACTTACGGATGACCCTTTAGCACCAGACTGTACCATCAACTGAAGATTGTTTGCAGGGAAAAGCTTCTCTAGGCCTTTTGGCATGCAGGCACTGTTAAGTAATCAAAACAAAATTATTACATAATCATTTTTAACATGGTACAATATAAGTAAAAAACAATCTAATATGACAGCATCTAAAACTAACTTTGATGAAAACATTGCACTTCAACACAGCTAGGTAACAAATATTATGTTAAGAATCTGAGAAAAGCCTTATCTCACAACAGCATTCTGTATGTGGTCTGTACACTTACCCCACTATAGCGTTCTGTGTGTTGTCAGTAACTTTCCCCACTATAGTGTTCTGTGTGTTAACTTACCCCACTATAGCATTCTGTGTGTTGTCAGTAACTTTCCCCACTATAGCGTTCTGTGTGTTAACTTACCCCACTATAGCGTTCTGTGTGTTGTCTGTTTTGCCTTTCATACAGAGGTCCAGCTCCCTCAGTCTCCTGTCGTTCTTGTCAAACTGAGCGTCCATCATGGCCTCCCTGATCGTCTCCTCCTCCTGCCAATCATCCAGTCCCAGGGCCTGGGTTGCGACTTCTGGCCCACATTTCCCAGACTTCTGTATTGCTTTCCTTCTTTTTTGGTCTGCCTGTATACATGAAATTCATGAGTTAATTTTTATGCTGTGTTTTTTTAGCTGCAATGCAAAATTTGACATCCACTCCCTCCTTTTAAAAAAAAATAAGCTGTTAGTCTTGTTCTTCTACTTCACCATTTAATTTCAATATTAATTGTAGAAAGTAAATAGAACTCACTTTATGTGTGACCAGGATATCTTCTACTCCCAATGAAAAACTCCTGTGTTGCTGCAAGAAGTTCATGAAGAGTCTTCCCAGACAGGAAAGCAGGCTCCCGGCCACCTCTCCTCCATAAAGCTACAATCAACAGATAAAAAGATCAAAACTGAACAAAATGACTACATGTATAAGAGAAATTTCATGCTGGAATTTTTCTGAGTCTTTTATTACAGTAAAATACAGACCTCATAACAACAATGGACCAGTCCATAAGGAGTGTTGCCATAGTGACCCTTGTCTAGGACACCACAGAGAAGCTCCGAGCCCCTGATGATCACATGACTCTCTCCCATTTTGTCTATACTCTCGTGTCGCTGTCGATGGTGTATCCAACTCTACAAAAAAAAAGTAATGTTACAAAATACAAAACTTACATATAACAGTTTATTGTCAAACTGACTAAATATCTTTTGAAAATTATTTTCCTTAGAAATTTAAAACAATCATATTTGCCATTGCTAACACTGAGTATTGTAAAATTTGCATTTGTAAACTGGCAATTAAGTTAAATGACTGTTTCCAAAACGATTAAAGACAACAGTTTTAAATTCATACTGTAAAACGAGAGTATTTGGCGCACTACTAATTTTAGCGCTTTTGGCGCAAGAGCCCCTGAGTGCTAAAATTTATTGTGCGCTATAGGATTTCTAAATATTATTTTTTGTGTGTGTTCAAAGCTTTTACATAAGTACATGTAAACCGGAACGCGCGATTACGTAATGTCGAAGGGTCATTAGATTTTATATACACACTAGTACTACACATGTTCGGAAGACATTAACACCTTCAAAGTTTGGCCTCTCGGCGTGTCAATCATCTATCGCCTCGAGGTAAACAATGCAATCAAGCATGGTGATTGAGCTTGCAGACAATACCTGTGATTAGGATTACCGTTTTATCTAAGTAATTTTCTGTTGATGCATGCATTGATTTAATATGATTTAAATGAGTAAATACTCCATTTCTTTTAATTGAAAATAGAAATAAAATAAATTTTAACATTGTGCCACACGTGATAGCAACACGTACCACAGTAAACTTAACGAATGTTTACTGATATACGGGAGTACTAATGTGTTTCCGTGCTTGACTAACCAAAAAGTAAAATACATGTGTGGATAAAAAAAACAACAAAATATCACATTTATATATTTTACTGACAAGTACAAGTGCTAAAATTTATTTGCGCAAATGCATTCCCACTTGCGTTTGCGCTAAAATACGTATGCACCAATTTTTTTCGTTTTACAGCATTTATTTTGTATAAAAGAGCATTCTACCTAAGAAAAGGTGAGGTAAAAAAAAGTTACCTTTTCAGGAATTTTAGATTTCCCAGTCAGATTAAGCTTTTCTCTCTGTTTGGGGATAATGTTGTGAAGCAGAGTGGATAAAACCTATCATATAAGAGAAAATAATACTTGTCCATTTCTACATACAACTCTCAATACTGATACAGGAGTTTCTTTCTGATCACAATTTATTCATAACACCAATTCATCTTGAGAACTTAGAAGAATTTCCCTGACCACTAACCTGTTTTCCTGACCAGAGAGGACATGGTTTGATCATGGCTGGGGGCAACAATTTGATCGACCCTCGCTTGTCTACCAGTGCCAT